CCCCCCCCTCCCCAGACAGGGACTGCTGCCACCATGCACTGAAACCGATAACATTTAATGAGGTTATTCAACTATTCAATTAACATTCCTAGTGGGCGGATGGAAACATGGAGACTTCCCTCTAGCGGGCTCTTGAAGGGCACACCCCCCTTGGGGTCCTGGTGCACTGGGTAGGGCACGGGCTCCCTGGCCAGTCTGCCTTACCATTGCGAGAGATGTCTAGCTCTACCAGCTGCATGAAGTTGGCCACCTCAGGGGGAAGTCTCTGAATCTCATTGTCACTCAGGCCCAGCTTGCGCAGGTTCAGGAGCCGGAAGAAAGGCTGTAAGGAGAAAGCAGAGCCATGTCAGCAACAGCGCCAGAGGGGAGCTCCTCCCCCTACTTATCTAGCTCCTCCCCCTACTTCCTTCTGCCCAGGCCCCTCCATGCAGACAGGCCACTGCTCAAAACTCCAGCTGCCACACTGGTGACTAGCAAGGGGAGAGCTGGTATCACCAGCACAAGCCATGACCTGCTGCTTAAGATTCACTGGTGCTAGGGATGTGAAAGGTTAACCAGCGCTTACCGGTCCAGTTAACTGGAGGAGTCTGGGTCCCAGGGGCCCTTCATACCAAAGGGCACCTGTTCACACCATGTGGCCCTGTCTCGCAGTAGCTGGAACCCGCCCCTGGCCTTCAGAGGGCTCAGATAGTGATCCTGCTCAGCTGGAATGAGGTGCGGGCAGGTGCCTTTGGACCCAGACCCCTCCCAGAGGCGGGAGAAATGTATAAAAGAGGGTGTAGGGCCCAGAGACATGGGACCACCCTGGGAGGGGGAAGGTGTATGAAATGGAGCCAGAGACTGATGAAGGGCTGAGTCTTGCTTGGCTCTGCATGGCTACCAAAGCAATAAGCTACAGCACCAAAGGCTCTAGGAGGAGCTACTGTAAGCACCAGGGCTAAGGGCGCAGACATTTCCATTCTAACCTCTCCCTTCAGGCAATGGCCCAACCATGTGGGAGCCAAGCAAGAGACCAAGCGCCCCAACACAGTCCCTTTGACTAGGGCCATGAAGGGGCTTGCTGAGGCGATCTGCCATTCAGGGACCCCCTGAGACTGTTCGGGGGTATGGCCAGCTGGAAGCTGAACAAGGCTAGCAGGTAAGAGGCAGGGTAGGACAAGTTCTTTGCTAGGAACGTGCATGTGCACTGACAAAGGCAAGGCTCTCCTAGCTTGGACAGCTCACTGCAACAAGGCACTACCGAGGCAAAGACATGAACTGGGCTCTTACTAGGCACAACCAGCCAGGCAAGAGAACTTGCCGGCCAGAAGCCGAGTCCATCACTGCCCAGAGGGGGTTTCAGCCCTGGTAGTAGTCGTGGTCATGGTCAGAAACTGAATTCTGGACTGCAGCAAATTGTTTGTGTTCCTGAATCTCTGCAGAAATAAACTTAACCAACAAATGGTCTGGTAGCACTTTATAGACTAACAAAACATGGAGATGGTACCAAACTCCCAAGGCCCTTCCTCTGTTTCCACAGACTACTTGCAGAGTACGCTGCTCACCAGGACAAAGGACGACACTTGGGCCCCTGGTGGGTTCTCAAAACAGCCTCCATGGAAAGGCAGAGACTTGTGTGTACAGAGCTCAGCACAAAGTGGGCCTAAGTCACAGAACACTAGGACTGGAAGGGACCTTGAGAGGTCAGAGTCCAGTCCCCTGCCCTCATGGCAGGACTCCGCACCATGTAGACCATCCCTGATAGACATTTATCTAACCTACTCTTCAGTATCTCCAGAGACAGGGATTCCACAACCTCCCTGGGCAATTTATTCCAGTGTTTGACCACCCTGACAGTTAGGAACTTTTTCCTAATGTCCAACCTGAACCTCCCTTGCTGCAGTTTAAGCCCATTGCTTCTTGTTCTATCCCCAGAGGCCAAGATGAACAAGTTTTCTCCCTCCTCCTTGTGACACCCTTTTAGATACCTGAAAAGCTCTATCATGTCCCCCCTCAATCTTCTCTTTTCTAAACTAAACAAGCCCAGTTCTTTCAGTCTTCCTTCACAGGTTATGTTCTCTAGACCTTTTCTTGTTGCTCTTCTCTGGACCCTCTCCAATTTCTCCACATCTTTCTTGAAATGTGGTGCCCAGAACTGGACACCATACTCCAACTGAGGCCTAATCAGCACATAGTAGAGCGGAAGAATCATAGAATCATAGAATAATAGGACTGGAAGGGACCTCGAGAGGTCATCGAGTCCAGCCCCCCGCCCTCAAGGCAGGATCAAGCTCCGTCTACACCATCCCTGACAGATGTCTATCTAACCTGTTCTTAAATATCTCCAGAGAGGGAGATTCCACCACCTCCCTTGGCAATTTATTCCAATATTTGACCACCCTGACAGTTAGGAATTTTTTCCTAATGTCCAATCTAAACCTCCCCTGCTGCACTTTAAAGGGAATCCTCTGAACTGGCATTCATGCTAAAATTTGACACCCTCCGCACCGGACTTAACAAAGACCCCAACTATCTTACACATTACAAAGATAGCTTTCCCAATTATCACCTCTAATACTATTAACTCAGACATTTCCCCTTCCCCACCTCTAATATCATTAACTCACTGGCATTCACCTTCCTCCCCCCCCCCCCCACACTCCCCCTTTTTTCAATTGTATCTTTTGGTATATATGGTTGTGACTATTTTCTTCCACTATTTGATCTGAGGAAGTGGGTCTGGGCCACGAAAGCGCATCATCTAATAAACCATCTTGTTAGTCTTTAAAGTGCTACATTGTCCTGCATTTTGCTTCAGCTACCCCAGACTAACACGGCTACATCTCTACCACTACTCCTGTTAATGCATCCTAGAATCATGCTTGCTTTTTTTTGCAACAGCGTCACACTGTTGACTCATATTTAGCTTGTGATCCACTCTGACCCCTAGATCCCTTTCTGCCGTACTCCTTCCTAGACAGTCGCTTCCTATTTTGTTTGTGTGAAACTGATTGTTCCTTCCTAAGTGGAGCACTTTGCATTTGTCCTTATTAAACTTCAACCTGTTTACCTCAGACCATTTCTCCAATTTCTCCAGACCATTTTGAATTATGTCCCTATCCTCCAAAGTAGTTGCAACCCTTCCCAGCTTGGTATCATCTGCAAACTTAATAAGCGTACTCTCTATGCCAATACCTGACTGGGCCCTCTGGCTCTACTGCAATACAAATAAAAACCACTCCTACGCTACAGCCATCTGCCTAGGAGTCTTCGGTAGCCTCTCTCGCTCAGGGTCACACAGGAAGTTTGTGGTAGAGCTGAGAGCAAACTTACATTTCAATCAAATTACAGAACCACACACGGAACTGGCTTCTAACCCATGGAGTTCTCACGTCTGTCAATAAGCCACAGGCAGGTAGGCAGACACAGCAAGTACACGAGACCTTTATAACAGACCAGAAAACAGAGCTAGAGGCTGAGTGACTTAGCTAGACAGCTACACATGGACCAGAGTCAGTCCCCTGGTTTGACTCTTCTTTACTATGCGACTGCCCCCCCCCGAATGAGTCATTCATCTGAATGGACCATACTGAGCGCTGACGGGTGACAAAACCAGTTCAGTAAGATACAGGCCGAGCTCAGCACTGCATTATAGAGAACAAGGTCTCCTGACTTCTACAGAGGCCAGACAAGGGGGAGAAAGGTTGTGTGAAAACCACAGAGAAAGTACCTATGCCATAGGTGGAGCTGTCAACCATGCTGGAGAGGTTAACTAAGGATTCCCAGAAGCAGGTTTGAAACATTCCTCCTTCCTAGAGCTACCAGCTCAAGTCAGCTCTTCACAGACAATAGGCCAAGACCTGTGCAGTTAACTGGGTAGGTTTCTCAAACTAGACATTAAAGTAGTCCAACTGCTTACGGATGTGTATTAACAGACTGTGAAGCATTGCTGCTCCTTGGCTAAAGCTGCACAGAATAAGTAAAGTGCTTAGAGATGAAAAGTTCCTCCATGCATTTAGAGCCTTATTGTCTACTATGCTTCCCAATGCCACGATGGGGAGAGCAATATCAGCAGCACACCCATAAGAACGGCCATACTGGTACAGACCAAAGGTCCATTGAGCCCAGAATATTGTCTTCCCGATGCCAGATACCCCAGAGGGACTGAACAGAACAGAGAATCAAGAGATTGCTGTCCTGTCATCCATTCCCAGCTTCTGACAAACAGAGACTAGGGACATCATTCCTATCAATCCTGGCTAATAGGACCCAACCTTCATGAGTTTATCTAGTTCCTTCTTGAACCCTGTTAAAGTCCTGGTCCTCACAATCTCTCTTGGGAAGGGGTTCCACAGGCCAACTGTGCACTGTGTGAAGGAACAGTTCCTTTTGTTTTAAAACAGCTACCTAGTAATTTCATTTGTGACCCCTACTTATTATGTTATGGGAAAAAGTAAATAGCTTTTCCTTATTCACTTTTTCCCACACCAGTCATGATTTTATAGACGTCTATCATATCCTCCTGTCTCCTCTTTTCTAAGCTGAGAAGTCCAAGTCTTTTTAATCTCTCTTCATATGGGACCTGTTCCAAAACCCTAATCAATATTGTTGCCCTTTTCTGAATCTTTTCCAATGCCGATATATCTTTTGTAAGATGAGGCGACCACATCTGTAAGCAGGATTCAAGATGTGGGCGTACTATGGTTTTATATGGAGGCAATAAGATGTTCTCTGTCTTATTCCCTATCCCTTTTTTAATGATTCCTAACATTGTTAGCTTTCCTGCCTGCCATTGCACATGGAGTGGATGTTTTCAGAGAACTATCTACAGTGACTCCAAGATCTCTCTCTCTCTCATGTTGTTCTACCTAAATTAGTCCCCATCATATTGTATTTGTAGTTGGGATTATTTCTTCCAATGTGCATTACTTTACATAAATCAACATTAAATTTCCATTCCCATTTTGTTGCCCAATCACTCAGTTTGGTGAGATCTTTTTGAAGCTCTTCACAGTCTGCTTTGGTCTTAACTATCTTGAGCAGTTTGGGATCATCTGCAAATGTTGCCACTTCACTCTATGAAATGTTGCCTTTCAATCTATTTATAAATGATCTAGAAAATAGCATTGGTCCTAGTATGGATCCTTGGGGGGCCCCACTAGTTACCTCTCTCCACTCAGAAAACTGACCATTTATTCCTACCCTTTGTTTCCTGTCTTTTAACCAGTTCTCAATCCATGAAAGGACCTTCCCTCTTATCCCATGACAACCTACTGTGAATTAGCATATATAACCTGAACACGAGTATAACCCGCACTCGTGTATAAACTGCAGCTTTTCCTGATTGTGTAGAAAAAGTCTTAGAACTCGCCAGTTATACACATCCGCGGGTTATCTATATGCTAATTCACGGTGATTGCAAATACCAGCTGACAGCAGGCGGGGGGAACGGAGAGCACAGATGGCAAGCCACACTTGCCCCCAGGTCCCTCGCAGCCACAACTCACCCTCCTCCAGGCGGGGGAATGGAGAGCACAGCGCAGGCGCGCTGGCCGGCCTGCAGAAAAAAAGCCACATTTGACCCCAGGCCTTGCGCAGCCGCAGCCAGGCACAAACCCCGTGAGTAAAAGTAAACATGAATACCCTGCGGACATGTATACCCCATGGGGGGGGGGGGGGTTGTAAAAACGTGTATAACCTGCGGGTTATACACACTAATTTACGGTACTTAAGAGTCTTTAGTGAGGGACCCTGTCAAAGGCTTTCTGGAAATCTAAGTACACTATCTCCCCTGGATCCCTCTTGTCCACGTTTGACAACACCCCACCACCCTAACCCCCAAAGAACTCTAGTTCAGTAGATTAGTAAGGTAGGATTTCCTTTTACAGAAACCATGTTGACTTTTCCTCAACAAATTGGGTTTAAATAGGTGTCTGACAATTCTATTCTCTACTATATTTTCAATTAATTTGCCCGGTACTGACATTAGACTTACCTGTCTGTAATAGCTAGACGGGTTACCGCTACAGCCCTTTTTAAATATTGGCATCACATTAGTCGTCTTCCGGGACCTCTATGGTGGCATTCTCAGAAATGCTTCCAGTTCCACGAGCAGGGCCAAGTAAGCAGGCAGAGCTTCAAAGTCTCAATGCATGGATGAGACGATGGTGCAGGGAGGAGGAGTTAAGATTTATAAGGAACTGGGGAAACTTTTGGGATAGAGGGAGCCTATACAGGAAGGATGGGCTCCACCTAAACCAAAGTGGATCCAGACTGCTGGCTCTTAACATTAAAAAGCTCGCAGAGCAGTTTTTAAACTAAGAGATGGGGGAAAGCTGATTGATGCAGAGGAGCACATGGATCAGACAGATGTCTTAGAGGAGAGTCTATTGATAGAGATTCTCTAGGCTTTAGTCAGGAGGAGGGAACGTCTTCCGGGACCTCTATGGTGGCATTCTCAGAAATGCTTCCAGTTCCACGAGCAGGGCCAAGTAAGCAGGCAGAGCTTCAAAGTCTCAATGCATGGATGAGACGATGGTGCAGGGAGGAGGAGTTAAGATTTATAAGGAACTGGGGAAACTTTTGGGATAGAGGGAGCCTATACAGGAAGGATGGGCTCCACCTAAACCAAAGTGGATCCAGACTGCTGGCTCTTAACATTAAAAAGCTCGCAGAGCAGTTTTTAAACTAAGAGATGGGGGAAAGCTGATTGATGCAGAGGAGCACATGGATCAGACAGATGTCTTAGAGGAGAGTCTATTGATAGAGATTCTCTAGGCTTTAGTCAGGAGGAGGGAATGGAAGAGGATAAAGTATGGGCCAGATCAGACAAAAAACATTCACAAAAAAGAATGACACATCAGAAAAGGGCAGACAAACAGTGACAAGTTTTTAAAGTGCTTCTACACAAATGCTAGAAGTCTAACAAACAAGATGGGTGAACTAGAGTGCCTCATGTTAAAGGAGGATACTGATATAACAGGCATCACAGAAACCTGGTGGTGTGAGGACAATCAATGGGACACAATCATTCCGGGGTACAAAATATATCGGAAGGACAGAACAGGTCGTGCAGATGGGGGAGTGGCACTATATGTGAAACAAAATTTAGAATCAAATAAAGTAAAAATCTTAAATGAATCCACATGTTCCATAGAATTTCTATGGATAGTAATTCCATTCTCTAATAAGAATATAACAGTAAGGATATTTTATCGACCGCCTGACCAACACAGCATTTCATAGTCACTATTACTAAGGGAGATTAGAGAGGCTATCAAAATAAAGAACTCAATAATAGTGGGGGATTTCAACTATCCCCATACTGACTGGGTACATGTCACCTCAGGACGAGATGCAGACACAAAATTTCTTGATACTTTAAATGACTGCTTCTTGGAGCAACAGGTACAGGAACCCACAAGGGGAGAGGCAATTCCCGATTTAGTCCTGAGTGGCGTGCAGGATCTGGTCCAAGAGGTAACTATAACAGGACCGCTTGGAAATAGTGACCATAATATAACATTTAACATTCCTGTGGTGGGAAGAACACCTCAACAGCCCAACACTGGGCATTTCATTTCAAAAAGGGGAACTATGCATGGGTATGTCTACACTTGCACCCTAGTTCAAACTAGGGATGCAAATGTAGCATTCGAAATAGTCAATGAAGCGGGGATTTAAATATCCCACGCTTCATTAGCATGATCTCGCCGGCACGTTACTCCAATCAACAGCTGTTCCAAAAGTGAAAGTGCGCGACGGGACGCATTAGTTCGAACCAAGGGGTTCAGTACCTCTAGTGTGAAAACTATAGGTACTGAGGGTACTTTTTTTTTTTAAGGGGGTACCTAAAAAAAGGTTGAGAAACACTGGTCTAGAGGGTAAAATTGTTAATCTGAAGGTATGTCTACACTACATGGCTCCGTCGATGGAGCCATGTAGATTACCTTTGCAGACATAGGAAAATGAAGCAGCGATTTAAATAATCGCCGCTTCATTTAAATTAAAATGGCTTCTGTTTGTCAGCACAGCGTTGTAGTCTGGACGCTCCACGGTCGACATCAAAGGCATTTGTCGACCTCCCTGTTATGCCTCGTGGGATGAAGTTTACAGCTGATTAGCACAGCGCGGCAGCCATTTTAATTTAAATGAAGCGGTGATTATTTAAATTGCCACTTCATTTTCCTATGTCTGCAAAGGTAATCTACATGGCTCCATCGACGGAGCCATGTAGTGTAGACATACCCATAGTCTTGCTGGGTGGAGAAACATCCACAGTGATTGGGTTGTATATGCTTGTGTGACAACAGAAGAAGAGAATGTCTTCCTTACAGAAACAATTGATACATCAACAAATGCATGCACAGCAGAATACTTACAAGAAGCAGCAGCAAAAACTATAACTGTGTCTAGTACGCAACTTGGTGTAGCCAGACAGGAACCCCCTTGTAACATCCATTTTTGCTTGCCTGGAGCATACAGGGCACACAGAGCAGAAGACCCAGGCTGCTGTGACCGTGAATGGCTGTAAACAGAGATACGCCAATTGCTGACCAAGAGGCTGCCAAGGAGTGCCCTTGACTCAAACCCATATTGATACGAACACACATCCATCCGCGGGGGGAGGAATCTCTCGCCCAGTAAAAAAATGTCTAGTGCTCACAATTTAGTTCTCTCTCTTGCAAGTGTAAATTAACTTGAAACTTGCTTGTAAGAACTGGCGCCACAAAACGGACCAGTACAATTCGGCATCTTAGATAAGAAAGAGAATACGGGCCCCCAGGGGTATAAAGATAGGTCCAGCAGCGCATTTTCTCTGAGTGTCAATCTACCATCTATCTGCTGGTCGGGTTTGGTGTTTGATCTCCCGAGGTTCCAAGGGGACGCCCACCTCGTATTCGTCTTTCCTAGGAATTGAGAGACCGGCCCTGGCCTGACACGCTGGAGTCGAGAGGCACAGGAAGGGGGAAAAATTGTACCTGGATGTGGTCCTTTGTTTAAGTATATATATACATAGACTTAGAGCTCTTTAAAGATTAAGCTGTCACTTGGTACCATTATTTCTATTTTCTATCTTTATTTTCTTTGTAACCATTTTTAAAATCTGTATTTGTTAGCATTTAAGAAATAGAGCAATAGCCATTGTAACCATATGCTTTTATAAGTCTTTTAATAAACCTGTAACTGTTTAAGCTTTAACCTGACTCCTCCAGTTGCTGTAACAGAACCAAGCACAATTTAAAAGAACTTCAGCCGGTCATAAAGGGACAGACATAGGGAGAGCTTGGGCGTTTGGATCTGTGTCACTCCCAGGTGACAAGATCCGTTGGGGCACCTTTTTAGCCTTTCCTAGGCTGCCCGCTGCAAAGGAACTTTGTGTTCTAGCAGCTAAAATCTAAGGTGTAATAAGCTCTTCCTATATAACGGGGCGTCTGTTGGCCTGCTGGCCACCCTCTGCGATGGGACCCCGGTCCTAGCAGTAAAGACACGGACGTTAAACCTTTTCTCGGAAGCATACACACACACACTGCCCTGACCGTTGGCTGACACTTGGTCACAGACAATACTGTAAATGTATCTAAGATGAGAGGACATTTAGAAGAGAATGGTTGCACTGCTCATTTGATGCACCTCCTAACCAAAGTGTTCCAGAAACAAGGGCTAATGTTGAAATTTCAAAATACATCTGTGTAGCCAGACATGAACCCCATCTTGGTTTCCGCCACCCCGGAGAGCAAGAGAAAGGCAGTCAGTCTTTGATGCCCTGGGAACGCAGGTGTGCTGCCTGTCCCTGACTATCAAACAGAAACTAGACAGTAAATGGGCTAGCTGACGACCCGGGGCCTCCCGCTGCCCTGATAGCTAGTACCAGTAATTGACACGCCTGCACTGTCCCAGAAGAGGAATCTTTCCCATCATATACTAGAAGTGCCCATTGTCTGCATTTTCCTAGGTGTGAATTATGCTTTGCACCCTTTGTGGGAAACTTGGTGTTCAAAGCCATTTTTTCCTAATTGGCCACTTGAGACCAAGAAGCCTACGTGACCCAAGGGGTATAAAGAGGGATTCAGTAGCCTACCCCATTGGAGCTACAATCATCTACACCTGCTGGCAGGTATTGATTGTCTCCCGAGGTCAGTGGGATGCCCAACCTCGCCCTACTTCTTCCCGAGAGATTGAGAGAAAGACGCTGGCCACGCCAAGTCTGGAACGCAGGGGTGAGAATATATATACCTGCTAGGTGTCTATTTTGCATGCATTTAATAAGAGCTCAGAGAACCAAAGGGTTTCATGGTACCTGTAAGTGACTTATTAGTGTAATTTCTGTCCTGTCCTTTGTAGTGGCTGTGTTATCTATAATACAGTAGTAGCATTTAACAGCTAAGTTTACCCTGTAACAATAAAATAGTAACTGTTTAAGCTGTGACCTGACTCCTTCAGTTGCTGTAACAGAACCAAGCACAATTTAAAAGAACTTCAGCCGGTCATAAGGGACTCACTGCCCTGACCGTCGGCTGACACATACTAAAGCAGATTTCCATTTTTTTAATAAACCTTGACATTTCAACTTCAATTCTGATGTTTATGTCTTTACATATGTCTCTCTTACTTTATATATTTCCTTCAGTAAAGACGGCACCTATCAATGACT